CATAGTTAGTAAAATAACAACTACATGTACTCTATATATATATATATATATATATATAATCTATGCAAATGAAAAAATTAAGAAAGATGTCGCGCACAAAATTAGAGTTGGGTGAACGACGTAGAGATGTGCTTTTGGAGTCTTATATGACCACCACATGCTAATGAAACTGAAGAGACCAACCATGCTTTATGGAACAGAATGTTGGCCGATCAAGAAACAGCATATCTTAGAACAAGTGCAGCTGAAGAGATGGACGGGTGGAAAGACAAGAAAGGATAGAATTCAAGATAAACACATTCGAGGGAACTTAAAGGTAGCTCCAATAGGCGATAAGACGAGGGAAAGTAAACTTATACGGTCTGGCCATATGTAACATCGACCTAGACAGCATCGGTTAAGAGTGGTGATTTAGTTCAAGTGGAAGACTCTGAAAGGGAAAGGGAAAGGGAAAGACCTAAAAGGACAAGGATGGAAGTAGTGAGAAAAGATATGGTGCATCATGGTCCAAATGAATGTATGGCCCTTGATAGAGTAGAATAGCATAACGCGATTCATGTAGTTGATCCCAAATAGTTGGGATAGGGCTAAGACAATGTATTGTTATATATATATATATATATACACACACACATATCTCTTACTATATAAAGCATGAGTAGCGTCTTATAATAGGCGATGTGTAAAAGTGTTGTCCACGTTGGACAAAGGTGATTGGTATTTTTACTTCTTTTTTTTAAATACCTTTTGGGAAAGAATATGATGCAAGAGTCTTTAGGGCAAGGGTATGACGTCTAGAATGTAGGGGTTGTGATGATTAGAATATGGCAACTAGAATGTAGGGGTTGGATAACGTTCTCTTTCTATAGATAAAAGTTGCAACCATTTTATAGATAAGAATGGCGGCTACAGTTGTGCCTCTTGGAATGGATGCCCCCATCACAAGTGACAACTATATGTATGTATTTGTCCTTCTAACGAACCTATATTATATCTATCACTTTCGTGCAAATTTCTTTCTTTTTCACTTTATCAACACTTCCTCAAACGTGGTTCCTTTCAAACGACATCAAAACGCCCAAAAACTATAGGAAACCAAAGCACAGAAAAAGACAAAGAATAGATGTGAAGACCCATTTATTTTCTTTTATCTTTCTGCAACTCAGAAAAAGACCAAGGAAGATACGTGAGTTTTCAAAATTCTTCTCTCTCTTACCTAATTCCTTTGTAAATATTATTATTTTTATATATTAAATATTGAGAATTGCAATAGTTGTTTTTTATCTTAAGTTCATTCCTTCACTCCTCTTTTTTATTCACTCCCGAACTTCTACTTTCTCTCTTGGATGAATGGACCAATTATATTTCTATCTATACTTATTTTTTGTGTTTTCGTAAGGTAGTTTTTTATCATATGATAATTATTAAACCTTAAATGGGAAAAAATAGACTCCATTTTTTATTTATCATGCAATAAAAATGTTTAATGGTTGATGAATTACATTTTTTTTTTCCATTATTTCATAAATGCTAATATCAGATTAATGCATGGTTTACTATTATTTCTGTGTTTTCTTAATGTTCTCTCTCTATATTATGTTTTTCTGTTTTGGGTTTTTCTACATTAGGGATTTTAAAATAATTAGTGATTTTTTAATGATGATTTTGAAAATTACATGCAAAAATTATAGGGTTGTCTGACCCCAACAACATATAGGGTTTTTCTATATTATGGATTTTAAAATAAAAAGTGATTTGTTGATGAGGATTGTTAGAATGACATGCATAAATTATTAGGAAAAGCTTTATGTATGACCCCAACAACATATAGGTTATATGTGACCCCACTTCTTAGCGGTTTGCAAATACTTACAACATTTTTCAATACATATGCCATTCGTTATCATTTCTGATTGCTTCAAGTTCAATGCTTTTGGCATTTGAGAAATAGCTTTTTGGTTTAAAGGTAACATAACCTTTTTTCTTCACAAAACTTTTTATTAATGGCTGAAAATCGTCTAAGAATGCTTTGGTTTGTCCTTACTTATCTTTTAGCGCTCAGGGAAGCAATTTGGCCTTCACTTTATCAAAATCTGTTTTTCTTTCTCTCTTCTCTGTGTTTTGAAGTAAAACTCAATTTATTTTGTCAGAATTTTCATGTTCAAAAATGTCATTAAGGTTTTTCTTAATTTTTGGATATCGAAAATCTAAAACTAATAGAATTTATTTCAAAAATAGCATAGTTCGTACTTTTAGATTTTTGAATAAAATTAAAACAATTCTTATTTTCTGATTTTTAATATTTGAAAATTAGAAATTAACATAGTCTTGATTTTTAGGAGGCATGACAGTTGAATTTTTACATATTATTTTTGTAGCTTATTTTGTAATACCGACATTTTGATATCTCATTTTGGGGAGCATAATATTTTATTTTTTACATGCTTTTAGAGTTTTTTTAATTATTACAGCTATTTATATGCCTTGTGCTTCTAAAAAGAGCAGGTGCATTTCGCTAGTACACATATACACTTATATGCATGTATACATGTATAGAGAGAGAGAAAGCGGAAACTCAAATGAACAACCATTCAAAATAATTCAATGTGAAGTTCCTAATAAATAATTTAAAAATAAACCATGTAGCTCAAGTCCCAGTGAGTATTGTATTTTAATTTTATTTTCTTTTCTATGGATGAAGTTCAAATTTGGGGAGTTGATTCTTCTCACTAGCTCACATTTATAAAAAGTACTATAAGTATTTTTAAATAAATAAAATCACCAAATTATCCCTTCCTTTTGAAATTGTTAAGGGCATTTTGGCCATTTTTATTTAACTTAATTATGTATTTTTTACAAGTATTTTAAGATGAGAAGCATGGGTTCCAAAAATTGAGCTTACTCAGATGCATACAAAAAAGAAAAAAAAATAAAATACAATATTCATTATAAAAAAGTTTGACTTTAAGGGTAACATATAAAATATATGGGACTATTTGATTTTCTTAGTTAGTTTGCCTAATTGAATAAAGTATAAGTATAAACATGCCAAACTCTAAGCACACGTATGCATGCAACTGCATTTATGTACATCATGCAACAAGCAGGCATTCACATGTGGAAGGGCACAAGCAAGCACATGCACGCACACACATATACATGCATACATACAAAATGTACTTCAATGCATATACACAAATAGACCTTGCACAGCTACATTCCATACAAATACCCTAACTCTGATATTAACTGTTATTTATCATCACTGGCCAATATTTTAAGTTGCAAGTCCTAGAAATAAAACCGTGTACCCAAAGACCCCATCTTCAGTACTCTTTCGTAATTCAAAACAAAACAAAAAAAACACTCACCATGGGAAGTTTTGGAAACATAATAATCAGGGCAAACACTCGCCATGGAAAAGTTTTAGAAACATAATAATCAGGGCAAGTCACTCAGACACGGCAAGTTGGCAGGTCCGTGGGAACCGGTTAAGTCTCACTGCTTCCGAAGGTTGCTCTGTTATTTATTGTAAAACTTCGCCGTGTTTGACTCACTGACTTGGACCCAGGCCCTGTCACGTGCGAAGCCCGAGTCCAACTTTAATGCCACTAATAATAACCACTCTGCACTTGATTCTAACAACATTCCTTTTTATTTGACTCTCTAAGAGATTGTTAAAAAACATTTAGGGATGCACTCGATCCCAAAGCGAAGCAAAAGTGGATCATCAAAATATGCATTAGCTTCTAGCATTTGGATCACAAAATCATAAATCAACTGACGCTGTAAATTGTGAGACGAAAAACAAAATATAATCAAGGAAACTGTACCATATGTTTATAAGTTGAATGTAAAAGTGGTCCTCTCATAACTTGAAAAAACAAAATTTCTTTGTCATGGGCTCAATAATCAAGATTAAATCAAACTGGAATGCTCACTTAATTCTATAAATGTCATGTCTCAAAAATTTTCTATGCAAAAAAATAAAAATAAAAATAAAAAATAAAACATACGGGAAACAAGTCAGAGGCCTAAAGATTCTATTTTTCTTAAAAAGCAATTAATGAAGCAGTACACCATAGGAGTTCATTAAGTGCAAAGCTTTCATATTTTACAAAGCATTCATATTTTACTCCAACCCACTCAAGGGTTGATGTCTTTGGGATATCTCAGTGTCCTAGATATACATAGGTTTGCAAATCTCTCTACCATGTGGTTGGCCTCCCAATCACTCTGCAATGTCCACCTAAAGACAGCTGGAGAACTAAATGAGTAAAAGATATCCATGGAGATTGATTTCTAACATGCATTGAATCCCCCCAGTACTAGCAGCCATAAAATGGTCAACCAGTCCTAAGTTCCCCACCAGTTCTCCTAGCTAGAATTCTTCACCTCGACTAGAAGCAGATGATATAAAATTCCCCTCCCCCAAACTATTTTTGCAACACATAAGTAAGGTCTTCACTTGTTGAAAATGTGAATTGCAGTTAAAAGATTTAGTTAATAAGATTTGCAAGTTAGGAAACCATTTTGCTAATAAGAAACACTATTATTGTGTATTGCAAATCATTTTAAGAAGGTTGGCAGGCCTTTGCATGCAAGGAAGAATGGTACAGCTCTGCATAATGAATGTTAGCTTTGACTAATTTTTCATGATATTGCTACAAGCAAATGATGGAAAAGACAGATGGATATAGGCATTGGTTGCCAGATATGTGAAGTATTGATGTACTGTTGCAGTCAATCTTTTACATTTTTGTTTTTATTTGATCTGCATCTCTCCATTTATGGTACTTCAAAGCACAACTTGATATATGCCTCCTAAATTGATAAATGAATGGTTCCTTTTCTTTTTCTTTTTTTATTTTTTTTCCCTTTTACACCAGATAAATGAACGATTCATCCTCATGCATATATCCCGAGCATGAATCATCAACTGATCATAAAAGGAGCATTTGTAAGTTTAGGAAATAGATTTGACGGCATCTCTCTCTCAATTATTGACCGTAGAAAACAACAACAATCAATTCCATGAATTTTCCATTAGATGCCCCAGTCTCGCCATAAACCACAGACCCTAGACCCAAAAAATATTGATAACATAATCCCCACTGTTTCTATCTATCTCTACTCAACACTTCCTGATCATCAAAAATAACAACCTCCATTTCCATGCACTATAAATCACAATCCCAATATGATTCCCAAAGCTTCAATCATGTTTGTAATGAACAAAAAGACCGATGACCTAATCACAGTACAAAAACCCAAAATTCCAGAAAATGTGTTGGCATAATAGCCCTGCTGTTTACCAACTAAAACGAAGATAATTCACATAATGGAGATAAACAGATATAGAAATAGAGATGTAGAGAGGGAGAGAGAAGATAACGGAAACTTACTAGACTGAACTTGGTCTGGAGAGCTGTATTAACCTCATCAAATGCACGGCGAAGGTTGACGAATTCCTTCTTGGCTTCGTCAGTGACCAGAAGCTTGGCCATGCCATCCCAATCTATGGTTTTTGAAGCCTTTGCAGCAGCATCCACCAATTTTTTACCGCTCCCACTCATTCTCTGATGGCAAATCTCTCTCTCTCTAGTTTTTGTTGCTCTCTCTCTCTAGATTTTTCAGAGACTCGTTCTCTGATGGCAAATCTCTCTCTCTCTAGTTTTTGTTGCCCTCTTTTTCTAAATTTTTCAATTAACGGGAGCTCCGTTGCTCTCGAATTGGGAGGCACTTGGGTGGGCTCTTATAAGACCAAATGCCTAGAATGCCCATCCATTGACAATATGCGGCTTCATTGGGATAAGGGTGAGATTTGCAGCTTCATTAACATAAGGATCGGTTTTACCCAGTATGGCGTACCTATAAATTTTGTCTCAATAAATCTTGTAGTGCTTAAAACTCTAGGGATCTATTTATCTCTAGTTATAAAATTAAAAAATTTAAAAATAATATAAGATCGATCATATTTATAAAAGGATTATATATAATGAGACCATTTATCTTTGATACAAGGTGATCACAATTCTTTACAACCATTTGAAGTGAAATTTGATTGTTTGGATGTGTCACAAAGTTCGAAAAATTTTCTTTTGAAGTTTGAGTTTGGTAATGGAATAATTGCAAACACCCAATTTCACATCTAATGGTCAAGATTAATGTGACCACCTTGTATCAAAGGCAAATGATCTCATTATATACTTTCTCATATATAAATATTTGAAAATCTTGAAAATGAATGGTCTAGATAATTTGCTACAAGATGTATTATTTTTAAAATGGTGCAGTTGGCATACGGATGCATTTGCAGCTGTAGAGGTAAGGTGCACCTCAAATTCTATCATGGTATATGATTTTGATGTAAAATGTTCTTAGGATTATCTCAAAATCTATTTTTATATTTAATTATAAATTTTTAAATTTAAAAAATGGTTAAAATCAAACAATCTACATATGAAAATCTTGAAAATTGCCGATGTAGATATTATGTTGTAAAATGCACTATTGCTAAGACTTAAAAACTTTTTATTTTTCATGGTCATACATCTCGATGTCGAGATGATCAATTAAAGAGTTTTTCATCATTAAAACTACCTTTTTTGATGGATTTTTGAGGTGCATCCGTAGTTCTACATTATATGGTTGCATCCTTATATAAACTTTTTCCTTTTTAAAACTTAAAATTCTTTTTATCTTCATATCCATTCATCTTGATGTTAGAAAAAATCAAGTTATAGGGTTCTCTAACATCAAACACTCTCTTCTATTTATCCAAGAAATGAACACTTTCTTCTAGATAATTTTTTAGGTGCATCTTGCTTCAATAGCATAAGGTTGACACGTTATATTAACGTTTTCATTGAGATAAAAGGAAAAATGAAGAACGCCAAAATCATCTTATACGGGGTAAGAAGGTCCATTTTCTATTGCATGATTATATGTATATTTTGATATTTCAATATATTTTTGGGGAAATTTATTGCAATATTTTTTAATATCTTAAAATTAAAAATCTTTCCCCATATGTTGTGTTTTATGTTCTTGTTTCTATTTTTATTTTTAATTATTTTTCAAAAAATACTAGTAGTTCAAACTTTCAATGTCTGATCCAAAACTATTAAGAAAATCAGTTTGAAAATTGAAATTGTGAACCTATGTTTGTGAACCAAAACCACATCTAGTTCGGATTTGGAAATTATATATTTGAATTTTGGATTTGAAATTTCAAAACCGTAACCACCCTCTCACTCAACAATTTCCCGTTAAACACATCTATGATTGAGCGGGGGCTTTAGATTTTGAAATTCTAACCTAAAAATTCAAATAAATTAGTTCAGCTTTTTTAGTTTCGAACCCAATTAGTTCGGATTTATATATATATATATTGTCACACCCCAAGAATTTCCAATACTGATATTCCTAATACGTGACAGTCAAAACATATATACATCTCTTGTTAGGACAAATTTACAGTGGTAAATTCTTACAAAGTAACAAAAGAAAGTTTAAGCACAACTACAATATCTTCCAGAGTTGATCCTGACGATTAGTCAAAATGAAACCACAGTTATCCTGAAAAAATGTTTACCAGAATTTGATGAGTTTGGCTACTCAGTAAGTGATCATCATAATCCTAAAAATAATCATGGTTGAAAGATATCAATATTTTCAAAATGAGATCTATTAAAAGAAATGCATTAACAGTTTCACTTTCAATAAATGCATAATTAAGTGTAATCCAAATAATTGAAATGCATATAACACTTTAACGACAGTGCATAATTCAAATGATTTCACAAAATACCCTATTAGCGTTCTAAGTAGGTCACCTATATACCCCATCAGTATCCTGATGGGTCCACTTAATCCCTATCGGCGTCCCAGATAGGTCTACTTAATCTCTGCAGGTCCACTTAAACCTCACTGGCGTACCGGATGAGTCTACTTAATCCCTACTGGCGTCCCGGATAGATCCACTTATACCTCACCGGCGAACTAGATGAGTCCACTTGCATACTTAAATTATTTCTAAATCTCTTTCAACATTCGAAAGCAGCAAATATCATGTACTCAACATATCACTGAAATCATGAATATGAATTTCACTGAAACCATTAATAACAGTCACTTTCAATAACATTTCAAAAATAACCAATCAAATATTTTGGGCTCAAATTTAGAAAGGTAGCTGTTTGTAAAGATATTCTAGCATGATTGTCAATTTAATATGTATATAAAAAAAAACTCTTATGGAAAGTCAAGAATACGGAATTATCACAATTTATGGGATATCAATTTACAAATAAACATTTCACAACAATGCTATAATCAATTGCAAAAATATCAATTTTTAAGTAATAAGGCAGTCATTTACATATGAAATTTACATTGTCTAAATATTCAAAAACAGTAGAAATAAATCTTACAATTTTACTAACAGCAAAAATATCATATTTATTTCTAACAATTTTACAGCATTTAAAATTTCTAACATAGTTAAAATATCACAATTTTATTAAACAGATTATTTTTCAAAATAATGAGGTCACTTGCGCATAAAATTTATCGTGCCTAAAATTCATGATAATAACCAGAAATAATTATTTCATTTCATTTTTAAAAAGAACGGATTATTTTTCAAGATAATGAAATCACTTATACACAAAACTTATAAAATAAAGATCCTGGACGGAAATATCACTATTTATTAAAAACATACTATTTTTCAGAAAGACGATTTCACTTACTCAAAATATTTTAGAGGGAGCTTCCGATAAAATTCGGCTAGAGAGAGGAGTTCACTGTGTTTCGACCAAAGAGAGAAAGATCTCAGAAGTTTTTTAGGGTAGGAGTCCTCACCTCTCCGAATTTAAATTCTAATAACATATTATTTTATTCTTTTATTACGTTAAAGGTGTGAGCGTTAACTTACGCTTTACTCGCTTAAAGCCCACGATCCTTAGTGGACGTGGCAAGAGCAAGAAGCAAAAAAGCTTTTAAACCAAAAGCTTTTAAAAGTAGCGATGGTCCCTAAGGACCATCATGCTCATATGGACCATCACTTATTAAAAAGTTTCTTTTCTTCTTTTTCTTTTTCTTTTTTTTTGAAATTTTAGGATTATTACATATATATAACAATTTAAAGATTATATTAAAAGTAAAACAAAATTACAGAGTCAGAGATAACTGTCTCACATAAAAAGTACCCATTTGGCAAGGAAATCAATCAACACATTGGCTTCCCGATAAACTTGCGTAAAAGAGGAGTTAAAAGGTCTAGAAAGGTCCAAGATCTGTAGCAGCACAAATCTAAACTCCTAAAGGGCAACTTTTGCTCCCCTTTACACCAGTTAATGACATTCAAGGAATCACCTTCAATAATATATAAATGTCCCAAATTCCTAACCACAAAAAATTGCAGGCCATGAAGAAGTGCATAAAATTCTGCATCAGTAGTTGTTCTCTTCCCAAGACTGTTGCATAGGTAAAAACAATATTTCCAAACCAGTCTCTAACCACTCCTCTAAAGCCCGCTAAACCAGGCTTCCCTAACGAACTATCATCAAAGTTGAGCTTAAAGATCCCCAATAATGGGCCACCCACCTACCTTTAGGTCTACATTTAATAAAACCCATATGAAAAGATTCGGTAGGTTTCTTCTAACATCCACGATATATCTTGCCCAACTTTTTGTACCCAAAAGATAATGCCAAATTGTGTGCAAAATCTTCTCCAAAATTCTCTCAAAGGGCAAGCTTATCCTATCAAATACTCTCATATTCATTTCCTTCCACACCTCCCATAAAATCACACTTCTCGTGATTTGCCAGAGTACAAGCCTATTCCACACCTCCCATAAAATCACACCTCTTATGATTTGCCAAGTTATCAAGCCTATTCGTGTTAAAAAATCAAGCGACAGATTAAGAGAATACCCTCAACGCCACTACCATCGTAATCCCAAGCTGAGCACGATAAGTAAATGGATAATGGAGAAAATCCCAAACTGAGCACAATATGTAAATTAATAATGGAGAAGAGATGAGCACCAGTTTCACCATCACCCTTACACAATAGGCAGATATTTCACAAGCTCTTACCTCTCTTGATGAAATTATCAATAAATATCTTATTTTGTACTGCCAACCATAAAAAAAGCGTGCACCTTAAGAGGTAAGGGCCACTTCCAAATAATGGCAACTTCAGGCATCGATCATGAAACAGCAAATGCCACATTGATTTAACCGAATATACTCCATCTTTATCAATATCCTAAACCACCTCATCTACAACATTTTGAGGGATATATACTTTATTTAGTAGCATCAAAAAATCAGAAAATTCAGAATAGAGAGAATTTGGAATCCTATTATATGGAAGATTAATATTCCATACAATATGATTACCCCTACGCTCATAGTAATCACAGATAACAGCATTAGAGTTTTCCATTCTTTGGAATACCAATGGAAAAACATATTTCAAATGTGAAGCACCTAACCATTTGTAGTGCCAAAAGGAGATATTGCTCCCATTGGCTAAACTTCATCGAATGTCCCTGTGAATCAGAGTTTTACAAGAATGAATAGATTTCCAGCAGTTTAACATGCCCCTAATACCATTCATCGCACCAACCTATATACCAAATCTATCATCACCATACTTTGAAGCAATCACTATGCACCAAATATGATTTTTGAAATTTAAACTTCTCCACCACCATTTACAGAGCAAGG